CTGCTTTGCCAAAACTATATATTGATCATGAAAACACCTGATGATTAAGCAAAATGGCAACATGTTCAACTGATGATGATAATAGTATACAATAGTTCTTTACAGCCTGTTTATTTTTCTTGCTTACCTTAAGATTCTGTTTGCTTTGTGTTCATGCATTCCTCAAGTGTATGTCATTCAATAAACCTCCAGAAATGTCAAACAAAAACTTTTATCTAACCCACCTGGTTATATTGGTCTGATATACAAGTATCTTTTCTACAGTATTTCAACACCCCTAACCCATTGACAGTAAATAAAGTAAATAATTGTAAGACTCTATGAATTATTTACTACTCTACAATGCCTTTTCTCACAGATGCAATGTTAAATGTTACTACTTGATATTTCCATGGAAAATGTTCATAAGTTATATTCCCTAGTTTTGCCAGTTCAGATCTTTACAGCTAAGGCCTACCATACTATAGACACAGTGGCGAGCCATTCTCATTCCCTTTGTCTTCCACAGGTAAGAAGGAAGTTTCATTTGAACAGCTTCTACTAATTTATGGAATATACTCCTGAGAGGACGCTTCCTTGAACACTATAATCTTAAACCCTTCAAGTCTAGGGTCAACTGTTATCTATCAAACATAATATGCAAAAATTTCGGATAGAATATATCTGTAAAAAGACAATATGAATAAAGGCAAAAAGAAAACTTATCTTTGCCCAAGTAAGTTCTTTGCTAACATAAATTTCCCTTTTGTCTTTATTCATATCCTTATAAATTTTATTCATATCTTTATAATATAAAGTTATTTACCTTTTCTATATCCATAAAACAAACTCATTTAGTAACCCTCTACCTTGAGTGGCTCTTTGGCCTTGTATTAGGGAAATATTTAGTATGCCAGGACATGACTACAGGTTGAATTTCTAGAGCAGACAATGTAGAAATGGTATAATTAGGAAGTAGATTAACATTATAAGGAAAAAATTATTTTTAGAGTTAATTTATTTTTTCTTGACTTAAATTAATAGCAGTAATCTGAAGATGATTAAATTTTTTGGATGATTACACATTTTCCTTATTAATTTTAATTCTTGCATCTTTATAAGTCAACTATTCATCTGTGCATTGAATATTGCTGCTATATCTGGTCTGGTATTTCTGCTATGTATCTAAGAGATTCTTCACAAAATCCAAAGAATCTGCAATGTTGTTGGTCCTGACCTGGCATCACAGCCTCAGTTACTTTCCCACCACAAGAACATATCTTCATTGTGTCTTTTCTATAAATATGTTCATGGCACTTGTTTCTTCTTAGTTACCTTGACGTCATGAATTTAATCATAGTACTAGATTGGCAGTTAGGTCTCATCAAATGATGAGACCTAACTGCCAATCTAGTACTGTTGATATTGCTTAGTGTAACCATAATTTCTCTTTTAATAGTTTCTCCTCTTGCACTCTTCAGCTGTGGAACTTTTTCTAGCCTCTTACATTCCTGTCAATTACAATGTTCAAAAATTTAAATGCAATGTCAGTCATCATCTTTTGTCTCCTTGAATCTTGTTCTTGTCTTTTCTTCTCAATAAAATATTCCCAGTTTGTTTCACTCTCAGTAACTCCCTGTGTCTTAATGCCTTTATTGCCTTGCTTGGTGTGAAAGTATTAAAAAAATTTATATTGATTTTTTTTTTTCATTAGATGAAGAATTGTCAATTATTGTTAATTTTTGGTTAGTATTTTTATCATTTCCATATGAGATTCTTTTCATTTATTATTAGCAGTAAGATTATCTTGAATTATTATTATTCATTTTTGATAAGTACATTTATCTTAATTTCAATTAATTTATTTAAATTCATAATATTAGCAGTAATATGATCATGGATTTTTTCTCATGTAAAACATAGTGAAACACTGTTAATTTTTTTGGCTAGTATTTCTTTCACCATTAATTGCTTTTTAAAAAAGCTAATCAGAATTCTTAGTTTCAGAAGTTTTAAGTAAATGGCACAGATTCTCAAATAAAAAATAAGCTTGTAAGACTTGAACCCATAACCATTTCACCTCTGTCAATTGAGATTCAAGAACTCTACTTCTTGCAGAAGATTTAAACCATTTAAATTTACCCTTCAGATAAAATCAACAATTCAAAATAAACCTGACCAAAACAGAAACTATCAACTGGAATATGGAATGAAAGAAGTAATGGCACATACAGCAAAGCAATTTAAAATTTAAGTTTGTGGAATTAGTCAATACTAATCACTTCAAATATCTTGGTGATTAGAACAAATTTAGTATAGGAGATAAGGAAATTGAACATATAAAGGATTTTGGCCCAATACATCTTCAGGGGTTTAAAATATCTGTGGATGTGTATACCTACTGAAGATGGTCTCAGATGAGATTGAAAAGTACTTTGGAAAATAAAAATTATTTGAAAGAAAATTTTGATATTTTTCTTGATCAACCAAGAAATTAATTTGTGGACTTGAACTAATTAAAACTAAAATAAATATACTTAAAAAAGTTTAAACTATTTAAACAAACCTGCTTGAATAAAAATATGTTGTATATATATATATATATATATATATATATATATATATATATATATATATATATAAGTATATAATTGGTATATACGGAATGAATTCCAATAACCAACAATTACTATTCTTAAAAGAGTGCTCAATAAAGTAGAGAGATATAATTATTATTTATAAATTATAATATAAGTATGTTACAAAATCACTACAAAAATAGCCATTTTGTTTCAACACACTCGGTATCTCATCAAGTGATGATGTTGAAGATAAAAAATCTTTTGTAGTGATTTTATAACATACTTATGTTATAATTTTTTATAAATAATATTTATATAATATATATATATATATATATATATATATATATATATATATATATATATATATATATATATATATATATATATATATGTATGTATGTACATATATAGAATAGAAATTCAAATTTATAAAATTTCAATTATCAAGAAGACCTATATTGGGATTGTCAAAAACAATGTCAATATAGGTCTTTCTTGTTAATAGCTAAATAGCTTTCGTTTTGAATTTCTATTCTATGTAATTTATATGCCCTGTTATAATAAATACATTGAACTCTTTTTGTGGATCAGTTTTAATATTTTATATTATTAGGATTCACTTGGATTATATACCTAAAGATTATTATATATATATATATATAAAAGCAACATGTGGCTGCTTATTTGTTAGGAGTTTCTTTTTCTTTCCCTAATCTTTAAATTTAATTTAATCTCGATATGCCATGTCTCTTCATAATGTGGACGATGATGACTGTCCACAACTTCCTATCCTTTGATGCCTTTAGTAAATTTTATCTTTTCTAAGCCCTCTTTCCTCTCTGTTTGCTAGAGAAATGTCAACACTTTCTGAGTCTAAGTATTTGTGTCTCTTTTGTTTCCGTCTTCCTTAAACTTCCTTGTTAGTCACATTTCATCCATAGTATTCTCAGCATCCTTGTGTAGAACCATATCTCTGTGGCTTCAAGTCTTCTCTTTTGTGAGGACTAGTCTGACAACACAGTACCTATTAAAAGTTCTAAATAGCATTACTATGAGTACTGCTAGTATAAATAATCCAAGTTCAGTCATCCCTAAGTGCCCCACTCTTGTGACATTGAAAGACAAATATATCAGATCTTGGGTATTGAGTTTGGATGAGCAAGTTTGTCTATCAAATCATTACTTGTTTTTTTTAAACATTTTTCATCAGATACAAGGCCCAAGAGCCACTCAAGATAGAGGGTTGAGGAATCAATTTGTTTTTTATGGACATAAGAGGAGGAGGTAAGAAGTGCAGATTATGAGAATAGAAAATAGTTGACCCAAGACTTGAAGAAATTAAGATTAAAGTGATCAGGGAAGCATTCTTTCTTGGGAAGAAGCTGTCCAAATGGAACTTCCTCCTTACTAATGGAATATGAAGGGAATGAGGATGGTACGCCCCTGCGTACAGGGCATGGCAGGTCTTAGCTGTAAAGGTCTGAACTTGTAATCTATACTTCTTCAGGATATTTTTAATAGGAGTAGTGATAGGTTTGCGGTAATTTGTATGTGGGAAAGGGGTTGTAGAGTGGAAAATAATTCATCACCCACAAGGTTGTGTAGATGCTTTTGAACTCAGCCAAGGATGGAAAGAAAGAATTGGGCAGCTAGATCCCAGATATGGCAGCAATGGTTTGGTTTGATCTGACTCTTGTCAAGGTAAAGAATGGCAGGAAGAGTCTACCTACATTGAGTGCTCTATTTATGTGGCCTTGTACTTTACTTTGTAAATAACATAAATAGAAATAAACTTTTTTTATACAGACTCATATTATGAGCAGTTATTTAAGTTCAGATTATGTAAGGCATCAACAAAAAAATTGACTATTTTTTTTTTAATTTAGTTTTAACTTACTAGTCATGTTCATCCAGTCAAAAGTTTTGAATAAGATCAATTTGCAATATGAGACAAAGTGAAAACTTGCAAAGAAAAAGAAAATTGTAATGTGTACTCCTCTTTCCCAGCCCCTTAAGCTATAATCACAAATCAAGTCAGTATTTATTGGTAGTTATTGATTTCCTGACTACAGGATGCACACATTTTTGCTTTTATTGAAGACTTAATTACAAGAAAATATAATAAAAAAATTCAAAGCATTGAATAAGCTCTCAAAATCACTTTAAGTGTAAAAATTTAAATATTGTTTTCATTTTTATTTTGTAACAGAAATAAATAGAGACAAAGGTGAGATTGTTGCTAGAGAAAGAAAATGGGAAAAGGGAGAGAAAGGATAAAATAGAGATGAAAATGGGTAAATTATAGAATAAAATATTTGTAGAGATAGGAAAATAAAGGAAAATAGATTGGGGAGGTGTAAAGACAAAGAGTGTGTGTGTGTGTGTGTGTGTAACAGAGCAAAAGACAAAGTGAGAGAGTGTGTAACAGAATAAAAGTCAGAGAGGGAGTATGCAACAGAGCAAAAAATAGAGAGTGCAACAGATTAAAAGAGAGAGAGTGAGTGTAACAGAGCAAAAGAGAGAGAGGGTGCAATAGAGTAAAAGAGAGAGAGTGCAACAGAGTAACAGAGAGAGAGAGAGTGCAACAGAGCAGAAGGGAGAGCGTGAGTGCGCGCAACAGAGCAAAAGAGGGAGAGAGTGCAACAGCGCAAAAGTGAAAGAGTGAAAAAGTAAAATATAGAAAGTGCAATGGAGCAAAAGAGAGAAATAGAGTGCAACAGAGCAAAAGAGAGAGTATATCAAATGTGAGAGAGAGAAAGAGAGAGGGAAACAGATTAAAAAAAAAAGAAGCTGAAAAGATATATATAAAAAGGCAGAAACCATGGAAATGATGGGGAGTATAAAGATAGATGTTGGGAATGAATTAGCAAAGAGAAGGAAAGAAAAAACTAAGACAAAAAAGAAGACAAAAACCAAAAAGAAGGGAAAAGGAGTTGTGGTAAAAAAGATTACAAAGGAGAAAAAATGTTATGAATGTGTAAAAAAAAAAGAGATACAAAAAGGAAAAAAAAGCAACAGATAGAGAAAAGGAAAAACAAAGAAGAAAAGGAGAAGAAAAAAGCAGAAAGTATGAGAGTGATATATACAGGAGAGAGAGAGAGAGAGAGAAAGAACTATTAAATAAGTCAAATGGTTTTAGTAGTATAGAAAAGTTAAATTGGTGTATATTTTTATATAAATCATTTACATTGAAAAGCAAAGAGAGTTGCTAAAAAATAAAGGTTCATGATCATAATGTAAATATAAGTTGTAATTACTATGAACAGTGTTGTTTACTGTGGTCAGTATAATGCATAGTGTTTGTGAGTTTACACACAGTTTAGTGCAATGAATTGGAGAGAGTTAAGTCATAGGTCAGTCAGTTCAGAATGAACAAGTTAGCCAGTATTCTTCTGGAGGTCAGTCGACATGGACAAACAGTGAAGACACCTTATTTGACCCTTGTGAGAGACAGACTAGCAAAGAGATATCACCATTAGTTCTCCGTAGAAGTATGATCATTTTTTTAAATGGCATTACTGTTTTTCCTCCAGAGGTTAGTGTATTGATGATGATGGGGTTATGCTGATGATCTAGGTATTCATAGTTAGGATAAGAATGATGCTGAAAAATAATCAGCATTCTTTACCAAATGTTACACATTTCCAAAACAGAAACGATGACCTGGAATTGGAATGAAAACAGTAATAGACATACTGTGAAGCCATCTTAAAAATTCATGGTGTGAAATTAATAGATACTTAACACTTCAAATACCTTAGTGTATGAATCACTTAAAACAAATTTAGTATAGGATAGGATAGAGGAAATTGAAAATAGAATAGACTGCAGAAGGTGTTTTGTAAATAACACAAAATGCTACACGGCCAAAACATTAACCTAAGAACCTGGGTCAAGTTCTTAAATAGCATTGTCAAATCAAAACTTTCATATGATGCCATGCATAGTATTTAGAAATATCTAAACTATGAGCTATGTAGAACCATTTTCTCCAACCAAAGATTAAAATGGCTCCAAAAAGATGACTCCCGTCAGTTTTAAAAAAGACAATCCTTCATCAGATTTGGTGCTACAGAATCATAGAGATTTACAATCATTTTCTCAGATCCATGATTGGAAACAGCTTCAAACAAATGAACCCTGTAAGTCTTAGTGGGGGACCATCCTTCATCAAATCCAGTGCTACAGAATCACAAAGAGATTTGACAAGTAACACAAACCATTTCAGTTGAAGATTTTTAACCTGAAACAAACAACTGAAATGTCTAGCACATTAAACTCCAATAGAAAATGTATACATAATCAAGATTCTGACTTCACACACAACCTTAAAAGATTAGGAAGGAAACTCCCATCAATACTAAAAAGGGCAATAACAGTGAACTTGGGAAAGCTATTTTCCAGAAAAACAGAACATTTTAAGAGAAAGATTTTATAAATTTCAGTGCAAACTGTTCAGTTGATGAATACCAAATGTTCCTTTGTAAGGAAACAGATAATCTCTCCATTAACATTGAAGAACATGGTGGTTACAGAGAAAGCCCAATAAAAAAAATGGTTAGACAGGATCCTCTTGGAATTATAAAACTCTGTTGGGGTTGTTATTTAGTTTCCAACTACAGGGTGCGATGGGTAAATTGTCGCCATTTTTATATTTTTAATTTTCCACTTGTGTGTTGTTTTTGTCAACTGCACAGTATAAGGTAAGTATAGTAAGGTCAGTTGGGCACCATTTGTGAGATAAAGGGCACCATGATGCAATTCACTTTGCCAGAAATTTGGAAATGACATACTTGGCATTCACACTGGAAGCTTCAATCTGAACATTTCAGAGTGTTTGGGTGTCAATCTAAGGACAGTGCAGAGGATTTGAAAAGCGTTGGATTAGTCTAATGGTGATTTGGGTGATCACTAGTGATGGTGATGTTATACCTCCATTCATCTTCCTACAGGACCTCACTCAAAATGGAAGCCTATAATCAAGTGCCTTGAGCAGGTATTGCTGCTCTGAGTTAAGAGGGTGGCTGCTGGAAAACTCTATATCTGATACCATGACTCTGCACCATGCCACATGAGCAGGAGAACATTGTCATGGCTGTCAGACAGTTTCTGCAACTACATCATCCCTTACATCTGGTGACCTGACTCCCCAGACTGCAACCTGCTTGATTATTATGTGTGGGGCACAGTTGAGCAAGAGACCAACAAAACACCTTGTAACACCAAAGATGAACTGAAGCCAAGGATTATGGTAGCATTCAGCAACTTAAACAAGGAGACCATTCAGAAGAGTTGCAGGAGATTCCGAAGTTGTCTGGAGGCCATGGTTGAAGTCAATGGCGACTTTATTGAATAAATTTACTCTTTATTATTTCAAGATATTTTTGTGTAACTTTTGGTAAATATATCTGTTATTTTCATTTTTGCCTAATTTAGACAACATTTTATCCATTGTACCTTGTGTGTAGCAGAAATTTGTGCTGCAGAGTAAAAGGGTAAGAAAAATGAAAGAGAGTGAATGAAATAAATAAGAGAAAAAGAAAAGAGAGAATGAGATGAAAGAGAGAAAAAGAAAGTGAATGAGATGTAAAAGAAAAAGAGAGTGAATGAGATGAAAGAGAGAAAGAGAGAGGGAGAGAGAAAAAGAGAGAATGAAATGAAAGAGAGAAAAAGAGAGAGAATGAGATGAAAGAGAGAAAAATAAGAAGCTAATAAAGGAGTGTTATAAAAAGAGATTTTCTTCATATCTCCTCAGTCCAGCAGTAGTCGCTAATCTTACATATCATATTCTTTCCCTCCCTTTGCTACTTGGACACTTATATAGTCTCTATGCCTTAGCTATGCTAATTAGGCAGCCAGTTACATATCATTACAAAAAAATGAGATGAAAGAGAGAAGAGAGAGAGAGAAGGAGATGAAAGAGAGAAACAGAAGAGAAAGACAGAGCAGAAGCAAGAAATCTGTCTGCCATAAAAATATACACGAAACAAGTCTTTGATTTCTTCTGTTTCAATTTAAACTGTCTCAACTCATCATTTTCTATTGATGGAATACAAAAAAAAAATGACATCTCAGAAATATTTCACTGAGATTTGAACAATAAAAGTTTTTTTTTTAGTTTTTGAACTGAGAGAGAAAATACAAAAAAATGAATGGTTTTATGCTGATTTGAAAGCATTTTCTATTCACACAAATGTGAATTAATAAGAATGTGATCTAATAATGAAAAAGCATTTATTTTACACAACAAATATTTATTTTCCAATATAATCTCCTTTCTTGTCAATAAACATAATTCAGTGATTAATACTAACCCGTTAAATGACATGATTCTCCACCATTGTAGTTTGATGACTCAACTTCAGATGATAAAAGTTTCTGTTACAGTCAATGGGTTAATCATATTGGCTCTACGTAGTGAAAATTTCAAATAAGAATTCAGTTAATTTTTATTGGAAATTTTGAGCTGAGAAATGTGTAGTGAAAACCAGTGAATAAACTTATACCAAAGCTTTATTGCACTTTACTCTGACTACTTGTCTACTAACAGAAATTACAGGGTGTTTTTTTACACCTTCTAGATCTTAAGGGGAGGTAACTGATGATTTATTAGTACAAAATGGTTATATACGTTTCCATTAAGACCTGCATATGCATCCTAGACTGAACACGTGAGAAATAAGGATATTTTAAAGAAAATCAGAACTAGAAAGTTAACTCTTATTTAAATTCAGAAACAGTTGAAACACACAATGAAAAAAGTGGGCTTAGAGAATTTAACACTTACAGGGCATACTGCGAGTCAGAGGGAAATATAAAGTAACTTATCAAATGGGATTTTATGAATGGATAACAGAGCAGAGACAAGGAGAGATGGTGAAGAATCAAATATTGCTAAGGGCTTCAAGAAACCGGAAGTTGTGGACAGCTGTGACTTCTCACGACCTGAAGGGATATGGCACATAAATGATAGTGTTTACTCATCTTGGTTGTTATACACATGTTTTGGCTGTTGTAGCCTCTGACCTGCCAGTGTTGGTTATTGTGGAATTAAGAAACAAACCTTTTATACAATTCATGATTTAGTGGCAGTTGTGAGTTCAATCATTGGGCTGGGTAGTGCTGAAAAGTTACATAATCTGAGTCAGTGAAAAAAAAAAGACAAACAGCATGAAAGTGCATAAGACTGGTGTGTATTAATAGATAAAAGATATCCTCTAAGCATGGAAAGCAGAATGAGTACCATAAATCCCTGTTGATTGAATAAAGGGTTCAGTTCAAATTTCTTAAAAAGTTAACTATAATGGCAGACACCTGAAAAGGCCAGATAGTGACCTAGGACATTATGAGTGTAACCACCAAAATGAGTATACTAGTTTGAATGGAAAAATACATAATAAAAATACAGCAAACTGACACACTCAGAAAAGGGAGAACCAATCAGTTTGCTTGTTTTCTGTGTTTACTGGAGAAAATGTAGAGAATCAGATTTTAAATAGGAAGGATTTATTAAAGATTTGAATTAACAGTCAATTGTAAACACATTTTACCTTTGACCCTGCAATCTTGCTAGACTTCAAAATTGGACTATTATTTCTTGTTATATGTTAAATAACCTTGTTGTAAAAATATAAATCTTCTCTTTAGTTAGATCTATTTCAATGCAGTATAGTTTGTATGTTATTCTTCTAACATTACTGATAATATTTAATCTAGAGGTATATATGTTTGGCTGACATTTTAACATTCTCTATTGATTTGTTTTATTAATGCCCTATATAAGACACTTTAGTTAACAGTTGCATTCCATTGAGTATGATTTATATATTTTATTAATTTATATGATCTGTAAATTTTTGTTTACTCCATTTATTTAAATATTTTGTTTGATCTTTAAGTTTTCGTTATTTTGTTAAATATTTTTCTTTCATTTATTTCTGAGAGAGCTATATTATTTATCTACTTAGAAAGTATTGTTAAATTACATTTTCTTCCTCATAGGAAATATCAGCTGTATGATGCTAACATTGGAGCGAAGATTTGGTTTCAAATATAACGTTTGTGTTCATTGCAATTTTAAATCTGTTTCATGACCTCTTGCTTAGCATGGCCATTTTGATTGGTTGAACCAATTATAGACATAACAAGTCTTTGTAGCTTTGAACTCTCTATGCTTTTCTATATATTTTTCTTTTTTCTCTTCTTCCTTTTTTCTGGAAAAGAGATCATATCTTGAGTCTTTCTTTCTTGCTCTTTTTCTTTCCCTTTTTTGTGTGAAAAAAGTTGTATGTGACTAAAATCCTAATAAATTATAATAATCAGTCATTTACTAATGCCTGATGGGATGTGTTGATACTCATCGAAACATGAGTGAATTTGTGTAGCATTTTTTTCTATAAGTTTGATTATCAAGGATGAATTTTATTTTACTTTTAATTGAATATATGCATTGTTTTACATATGCATCTAGT